CCTAATTCATCTTTCCAATCTGCTTTATAATCGATCTATTATATCTCTTCAAACCTCAAAAAAAATCTCCAGACGCGTTTTACTTTGTTTTAATTAGTTTTACGATAATGACTTACATAGATTTGAATAAGATAATAATAGAATAATTTTTTTTAATTTGCAATGTGATTTTTATATTTATCTTAATATTTCGTACATAATTCTCTTTTTGCTGTTATTATATGTTTGTATGAACTAGCTGTCTTTGACACAGTTTTTCGTGTAAAACAAAGTCCGCGCAATTTTTTTTATTAGAAACAAGATAATTTTAGTAATACATCCTCTTCAAAAAATTCCTCCAAAAATAGAATACAATTTTTCAAATACAAGATCAATAAAAATAATTATCGCGGTTGAGCTAACATTCTTTGTATTATAATTTATGGTTTTTAACAGCATCAATATGCAAAACGTTATCTATCAGCTATTCAAGTATAACCTATTCGAAAATATAATCAACATATATCTAATTACAGAACGATGCGTCGATTTGTATGTACATACCTGGCGATAATCGCGGATCATCTTTAATATGCTTCGGACAGAGAATAACTTGAAATATATTTTGACGACATTTTCGATTGACTCCGGATACACAGAAGCGCGATCACGACTTGAGTTACCGAAATGGAATGTAATAGCGATGTTTAATATGTTATGCGCAAGAAACATTCAACATTTTATAAGATTACACTCGTGATAATTCTTCACATTTAACAGATTAACTTTTATGCACAAACAATCGCGAGAAATACGGAGCGACTCGTTTCATCGTTGACGATTCAAAATCAAACTTGATCGAAATGCTCGAAAGGGTGCGCACTTCACCCGGCGTTCGAATCGACCAATCAGAATAACAACAGAGTAGCATTTCATTAATCAATCAGGACAAAGACATCTTTGCTCCTTTTACTCTGATTGGTCAATTAAATGCTACTTTACCTAGCGGGTAGGATTTTTGAACGCACCCTTAAAATATTGAAAGTACTGATGTGACGCGAAATATATAATCAGTTTTTTCTCAAATGTAAAAATAAAATTTAATATATCGAAATGCTTGACTTCTCAAAGCAGTGAACTTTAATTATAATTAATACACATAGAAATTTAAAAAATTAAATATATATTGGTAAAAAATATCAGTTTTTCATTTTTCAAAAAATAAATTTATCATAAGATCACAAAAATTATTTTGTGGAGTCAAATTCCACAATCTTTTAAACTACTTATGCAGTAACTTGTAAATAATGTTGTACATAAAGAGAGCTATAGCAAGAAATGGTGTTATTAAATAATAAAAAAAATGTTTTTATATATATGAATAAAAAAATAAAATTTATTATATCTGTATGATTTTAATATAGTATTATTTAATAATAACATTAAAATGGATAATATTGTATTATATTTATTGGATAACCTAGTGATTATTTTGTAAGGTAATTATTTTTCTGCTAGATGTATGTAAGTTTCATAAACATAAAAAAATCTCTAAAAATTTTTTTATATTCTTAGATAAATTCTTGTATATGCATAAAGTTTGTAACGTTTAACGTAAACAAAATTATTAGTTTATAGTTAAAATAAAACTTTTTTTCTCATATATCATATTTTTTCTTTGGTTCTTAAATCTATTTTTTTTGGTAAAAAAAATCATATGGATAATATATTTCCTTAATGTAATGCTCATAATTGTATCAAAGTTCAACTGGTACATTTTCGAAAATCTGTCTTATGCGTGTCCTTGCCCTATAGAAAAATTGGATAGGTAATGCTTACATAAAGAGAGAGCGAAGAATATTTGTAGCTAATGTAATAGTTCATTGTAATTTAAAAAATGTTAGTGTAGTAAAGTGATAGTAAAATATTACCTTTGCCTAAAGCTGGCTTCTTTATTACGGTTTTAGTGGATTTGTATGGCACACCTCTTCCACCTGTGTATATGCAGATACATATTAATTATTATTAATTAAATAAAAAAATTATATCCAAATATAATGTTAAAAATGTATAATTATATTATATATTGACTTACCAATAGGAGGAAAACTTTGTTCGTCATCCATCGAAATATAATCTTCCATGATAGAAGCGCCAATAACATATGCTAGAAATAACTATATATATATATACTCAATATAATATAAAATAGTAATTTCATTAATAAAAAGGATAAAATATCTAATTAGAATAAAAAATTGTGTTTCAACTTACAGTTTTCGATATTTGGAGGTCGCAATGATTGTTCACCCAACTAAACATAATGTGAAATTAGCAAATAATATTACACACTTCAATTAATATAAAGATTGATGAGTATAAGAATACATACATAACTTGGCACATGTTTTTTCTTCAATTCATTAACAGGTTTATCAACAGATTTATCAACAGGTTTATCAACAGACTCATAGATAGATCTATCCAATTTGCTATAATCAATAACTTCCACTGGTTTCGATTCAGTCCGACGACGTATTTCATCTTGATATGTCCTACTAGACACTTTCAATCTATGATGTTCACTTACCTATCAAGATTTATTAATGATAAATTAATGATAATAACAGTGTTATGTATAAAAACTTAGTAGAAAGATAAAAAAACATATACTCTATGTATGTATATATAAATCTTTTTCACAAAATGATATATTTTAGATATAATATACTTACGCCTGTCATTGATAATAGTGTATTACATTCCGGTTTAGATTTGCAAGAACCACCGACTTCCAAGTTACTAATCGAATGTGTTAAGGTAGCAACATCAGATTTGTCAGGGTAATGTATTCCTGGACGCATATTCACTCCTAGCGAGTCACAAAATTCTTTACACAATATCCATGCCCATTGCTGCAGTATAGATTTACTGCAGTATTCAGATCCTCCATCAACAAATTTGTGGAACTAAATACATTGTAAAATATCATTACTAATTTAATATATTTTGAAATATATATATAATATAAAGGAATAAAACTATTTACAGAACATTCAAAGCCTTTTTCATGGATATAGTTGTAGCATATAAATATGCGTTGGGCATAAACAGGATAAAACTTTTTTTTTACATCTGTTCTTTTCTTGTAACCTTCATCTGCTAAATGTATAAACAATTCTTCCAATTCATAAACCTTGAACTCATCTTTATCTTCTTCTGCAATAGAAGCACAGAGAAATCTATTAAAATTATATATATATATATATATATTAATAGATTGAGAGACAGATGTATCAATATATCACACATTTTCTTACATTTTATGATGTGTGTATATGTATGCGTGTGCGCGAAACCGTTAAAATATCTTGAAAAGATCAACTACATACTTACGTGCTGCGTCACACAGTTTTCCTAACACAGATTGCACTGCTGTGAAACAAGTCTTTGTTGTATAAAGAGGAGGATATTTGTTCACAACCTTCCTAGGTTCTAGAAAATTTATCAATTTCTTATACATAACAGCAAACTCAGTTTCTCCACCTTGATATTCTACAGGTATATTATGAGAGTTTTGACTCGTCTCAAGTGCTTCCCGTCTATATCCTAATGGAATCTCAGCACTAACAATTATATGATGTACATCTTCTATACCATCCTCAAATGAAAAAATTCCTAATGCATATTCGGCCGGAAAATATTCAACGTTATTATCAATAATCATCGAAAAAAAATGATTAACATGCATAAAGCAAAATTTCGATTTTGGCAAAACTGTAACAAAAAAATTAATTTTTTAATATAGTAGCTTATTATCTGATATATTATATATTCATTAAGCTAAAGTAAATATATTTGGTTTATGTTTCATAATATATATTTGTGTTGGAAATTATGCCTAGAAAATTTCCAAAATATAAAAAAATGTAAAATTTGACTTACGAACTTAGATTATAATGTGTATAACCATTTGATATGTTTTATATATATATCCATATATATGTATTACATATAAAATTACTTACTATTGAGATTTATAGCTGTATCAATAGAAAATTTTATATTCTCTTGCATATCTTTAAAGGCTTGCTTCTTCTCTTTTTCTTTTCGATCAATATCACTTATCAATTCTCCAAAGGTTGTTTTCTTATCTTTGTTCTGTATTTGTCCTGCAACTTTATCTTGTTTTGCCATAGCTTCATATGGACCTTTTTCTTGCTTAGTTAAACTCTATTAACATAAAAAACGAAATATTTACACAAACTAAACAAAAGTAAAGGTCATATTTATATATCATAATTTTTTCAAAACATCTTGCCAGATTTATATACAATTATAAAATCATTATTTCTCATTAAGAAAATAAGAGAAAGCATTTATTTTATTTTTTTTTAGAAAAATATAGAATACCGTTAAATGAATAATCCTTTTTTGCATACTCTAACAAACATGTAAGATTTAAATTAATCAAAATTGACATGTTATTTATTATGTTCGAAAACGATGAATAATTTCCCGGTAACATGTAACGTTTTCAATATCAGTTGAAATTTCTGATGAATTTCTTGAAGACATTACTTGCCACTCCTCATTGCATCCTGAATCTGCTGTAACATCTTTGAGTCCATTCGGAAATCTACGACCCTGTGCTTCCGCGCGCTTTCTCCAATCAAGCATAAAGAAAAAGAACGCATTCCTTCCTTTGGCCTTCGGCATTTTATTCCGATTTAGTCGGTGAAAAGAATGGTCGAAACTTTGCTCTGCCTTTCTCACGTTGAAACGCGGTACGCAGTACGCAGTACGCAGTGCGCGGCAAAAAGATTAAGTTAGGTTAGGTTAAATCGTTCTCAAGTATAATCGCGCGAGATTGAAACAAAGAACCATACTGTTTGAAAATTATCTCGGTTTCTTGATAATTTCCCCTTCCAACTTTCGCCTCAATGGCCAATCCTGACGGAAAATGACATCAGATACCCAACTTCCTCTAATATAAATGTTTGGTCTGGAGCTGGTTTGAAGTTTGGAGTAACATAACTAATCTAAGCAATATTGTAAAACAGTGCTGGGATTTAGATGCAACTTTCGGCCGGATTTCTTGACTCACGCCTACGGTTCCCCCTCTTACTGCTCGCTCCTTAGCAACGCAGCGCCGAACGGCCGTAACTAAGGAGCGCGTCACTAGTCTCAGGAACGTGCGTGTCACAAATGTAATAACGCAATAGCCTAGTGCCCTAGTAGCAAAACTGCTCATTAAGATTTTCTATTTAATACTTTATTTCTATTATTAATACTATTATTAATTCTATTATTAACTTCATTTCTATTATTAGTAACTATTATTACTATAGTATTAATAACTAAAATAATTATTATTCTATTATTAATTACGTATGTTCTGTAACAATTTAAAATATTTATGTTTTATTTAAAGTTTAAATAAAACAAATATTTTAATAATAGAAATAACGTATTAAATAGAAAATTTTAATGAGCAGTTTTGCTACTAGGGTACTAGGCTATTGCGTTATTACATTTTTGACACGCACGTTCCTGAGACTAGTGACGCGCTCCTTAGTTACGGCCGTTCGGCGCTGCGTTGCTAAGGAGCGAGCAGTAAGAGGGGGAACCGTAGGCGTGAGTCAAGAAATCCGGCCGAAAGTTGCATCTAAATCCCAACACTGTTGTAAAATTACCAAAGAATGCGATGAGATAAGAAGAAATATACATCCGAAATGTTTTCAGAGATGCATATCTATCTCTATTTATTTTCAATAAATCTTTTATTTCACAACAAAGCGTGAAGGTGCGAACTCATGCAGCGGAATAGCGTCCCAGATAGCAAAATGCTAGCAGCATGCGCGCAGATTGGCAGCA